GACTGTGATTTGATATGGTAAGGAGTGAATAGTGACATAAAGTGGGTATGATAAAAATTTCCCCCAAATATGGTTAAAATATGAATCTAAGGGGTCTTATATGCCAAAATATGAGTTTGGGTGAAAATCCCTCGAAAATCATCAAAAATGGGCTTAAAATGCGAAAGTGGTCAAAACCGGGAAGAAAGGAGTGAATCTGCGAGGCTTAGTAGTCTGATGCGAGGCTTGGTCCAAGAAGTTTGAGAACCGAAGGTAGGTTTGGTCCGAGAAGCTCGCAGGCGAAGGTCTCGAGTAGGAACCGAAGGTGAAATGAACCAATAACCGAAGTTGGGATGGAACCGAGGACCAAAGGTTCGGTCTTCAGCAGTTCGGTCCTAGGCAGTTCGGTCCTTAAGGTAATTTCGACTCTAAGAGGTTTGGTCCTTAAGGAGGTTCAATTCTTAGGGAGGCTTTGGTTCTAAGAGAGGCTTCGGCCCTAAATGGTTGTTTTTCCAATAATCTTCCCATTTCGAGTGGTTTTTGACTAAGTTAAGGGTCGGGATGCCCCAAGTGATTATAAAAAGTTAAAAGGGATTTTGAGAGAGCCTTGGGAGAGATTTGGGAGAGAGAGAGAGAGAGAGAAAGAGTGAAAGAGATTGAGAGAGACCATGTTTGTGACCTTTGTGAGTGTTTAGCCTCGAAATGCAAGGTTCGTAAACCCCGTTAAGCCTCGTTATGAGTGTTATACGTCCCCGAAGGGTATGTAATAGTGTTTTATCGAGTTGTTACATCACTTATCCTGTTTTAGGGTTTAGATTTCCCGAACGCATGAAACCTCTGAGTGATACTTTGCATTATGATAGAGAGTTGTACATAAGAAGACATAGAATATAACCTATCATACAAGCACTACATGAGATTCATTATATATATATATATATATATATATATATATATATATATATATATATATATATATATATATATATATATATAAACAAATTTAATATTATTTAGTTTGACATTCTAAATTAATTTTTCAAAATTTTTAAAACGTTTCTCAAAATTTAGATACATAATCTATTAAATGGCATACCAAAAAACATATTAACATTTGCTTTTATATTCCCTTACTTTAAATGAAATTTATGAAAATATAGTATAGAAATAATCAAATAAAATAAAATAAAGAGATATTTTGTGTTGGGGAAGACATTCTCCCAATCTCCCTCCTTCCATTTTGACTTAGAACATGGCAGATGGCACTATCACCGGAGATTCCTCCATTTCCTCTCTCCTCATTCCAAAACCTAGGCAGAAAGAGAAGACGACGATTCAGAAGCTTGGTCCAAGAACACAATTCGTCTGTCCTACTCTTTCTTCATTGTTTCATCGTACGTCTATCTCTCTCTACACTTTTTCCTTGTTACGTTTTGTTCTTCTCTCCAGGAAGCATCTCGGACTGTTTACATTATTTACCATTACCCTTTTCTGAGTTTGGAAACAATCAGATGATTATATAGAATCACAATTTCCTTACCAATGTAAAAGAAGTGCTTTCCACCATCGTACCCTTTTGCTCTCTCGTCATAGATCTTCTCTGATCCTTCTTTTGCATTCGCAGGTTTTTGGAATGCTGCTTTCGTCAGGTAACCCTTTTGGCTAATCGTTGACGAAATATTTTTGTTGCACTCGATTTCTTTCTCCTTCGTTTCTTCCATTGAGGTTTATTATAGATTTTGCATGTTTGTATTTTGATTTTCTCCGGGGTTAATCCTTAGATCTTGGCATTCGATTGTATTTTTGTACAGTATGATGATCTCATGTTGGTCATGCTGACCTTTTGTTGAATTTGATTGAAGATCGAACTTAGTGAATTTGATCCTCCTTCCCGGATATCGATTTATACACTGCTTTTGCTATACATTTCATATTCTTAAGCTCGAGTAATTTTTTTTTCAGTTGAATCGAACTCTTACTGATGATAAAATCATTACCAAGGCTCTTGTTTCTGTTTCCTTGTTCTGTCTCTTACTTCCATGAAACTTGAACAATATAATTCTACTACTGATCAAAGCAAGGTGTGTCTTACAGTTTAATCAACAATAGTTAATTTCACAGAGGGATTCTTCTTCTACAAATGCAAAACTTTAACAAGCCAAGAACTCAGCCAAGGCCTAACAGGTCTTACGCTTTAGGAGGTAATCTCACAACTTGATGGTTGATAAAACTTTTACATCAAAGTTTACAGAATTTGAAGTTGTTTTCGGTTTCTATGGTTGCAGGTATGGATCATACAGAGCCAAACAAGAAGAAAGGATTTGTAAGAAAGATTATTTTTGCTTCATTCCTTATAGCATTATGCATCTTCATGCTCAAACAATCCCCATCTTTCAGGAGCCCTACCCCAGTAAGTAAACAGACCCTTTTCATTCATTTGTTTATTTATTTATCTTTTGTCCATTTCTGCTTATTTTTCATTTTCTTTTCAAGTTCTCTAGGCATGAAACAGGAATTACTCATGTCTTAGTAACTGGAGGTGCTGGCTATATTGGCTCCCATGCTACATTACGCCTGCTAAAAGACTCTTATCGTGTAACCATAGTGGTATATATTATAAATTATAATTATCTCTTCTTCTTTCTTTTTTTTTTTTAAATTAAATTTAGAACATATAATCCAACTATATAAGCAATGTAAATTTGTGATAGGACAATCTCTCTCGTGGAAACATAGGAGCTGTAAAAGTTCTTCAAGACCTGTTCCCACAACCTGGGAGACTCCAATTCATTTATGCTGATTTAGGAGATGCAAAATCTGTAAACAAAATCTTTTCTGAAAATGCATTTGATGCAGTAATACATTTTGCAGCAGTTGCATATGTGGGTGAGAGTACCCTTGATCCATTAAAGTAGGTATTATCAATTATATCTGCTCTTTTCTTCTTTTCATCGCTTCAATTATCTCGAAAATGTTTTTTTTTTTTTGTAATGATGCAGGTATTATCACAACATTACATCAAATACACTTGTGGTATTGGAGGCTATGGCAACACATAATGTTAATACACTTATATATTCCAGCACATGTGCTACGTATGGGGAACCTGAAAAGATGCCAATTACAGAAGAAACCCCTCAGAATCCTATTAATCCATATGGGAAAGCCAAAAAGATGTCTGAAGATATCATTCAAGATTTTCATCAAAACTCAGACATGGCAGTTATGATTTTAAGGTTGACTAACAATGTTTGATTTGAGTCATATGATTTAGTAAAAGTGTTTCTGAGAATTTGTTGAATTCCAGATACTTCAATGTGATTGGTTCAGATCCAGATGGAAGATTAGGAGAAGCACCAAGACCAGAGTTACGTGAACATGGAAGAATATCAGGTGCATGTTTCGATGCAGCTCGTGGAATTACCAATGGGCTCAAGGTAATCTTTCATTCCATTCCATTCCCACATCTGATTCCATTCCATTCCCATCCAACCAAACATGTGAATGTGATACAGGTGAGAGGAACAGACTATAAAACCCCAGATGGAACCTGCATACGTGACTACATTGATGTTACTGATTTAGTTGATGCTCATGTAAAAGCACTTGAGAATGCAAAACCTGGCCATCTTGGGATTTACAATGTTGGCACAGGAAAAGGTACAATCTTTTTTTTTTTTTTTTATAATATAACATAATTAAAAGGTACAATCTTTTTTTTTTTTTTTGTTTTTTTAAATTACAGTGTTGTTGTTTGTTAATGTTATGACAGGTAGATCGGTGAAGGAGTTTGTGGAAGCATGTAAGAAGGCAACAGGGGCATCGATTAAAGTGGACTACCTGCCACGTAGGCCTGGTGACTATGCTGAGGTGTACAGTGACCCATCAAAGATACTTCGGGAACTCAACTGGTCAGCTCGGCACACTGATTTAGAAAAAAGTTTGGAGGTTGCATGGAAATGGCAGAAGTCACATCATAATGGATATGGGTCCATAAAGACTATATTTTGATATGGACTAATGATCACATGTGGTTAAAGATTTGAAGATTTTGACCTGGTTTCATGATTAGGTTTATTATGAAAATTAGGGGTTGAGGTTTTTAGGGTAATTTATATATAATTTTTTCCCCACATTTGAATATGATTATTTCTTACATTGGGACTGGTTACTGATGAGATATTAGAAATAATGTGTCTTTATCAGGTTTAGCTTAAACTCATGTTACAATATAATGATATATATATATGTAATGTAACCCGATCATATGAGAAATGCAAAAATTGTAGGAAATGAAAGAAATGATATGTAATACCCGTTCTTTTTTTAGTCGTCATTTGTGAATTAAAATGTCAAAATGGTATTTGTGATTTTTTGGGTATAACCTATGTAATGTAATGTAATAAAAATGTGTGAAAATTTGTGGTTTAAAACCCTAAATTGATGAGGTTTTATTTATAAAGGGAATGTAAATGTAAAGGCTAAGTAGGAGGACCAATGGGTTAACTTATGCAATTTGGAGGGACAAAACTTAGTGAGCTTTGTGGCAAGAACCATTGCTGATAATGGTTGAATCACCTTGAAAGAATATGTGATTTATACATGTTTATGTTGATTGAATCGTTGTCTTTGATTGTGGTTGATATTATAGGTATATGGTTATTAGAGTACTCACTAAGCTTGCATACCTTAATCGTTACTTGTGCCTTTCAGTTCCAAGTGAAACTGATAAAGGTAAGGAGATAGTCGAGAGATAGAAGAATTGTTAGACAAATGGTAACACCTGACTTGAATCTTTGTATAATTTTGTAGTATACAATCCTTTTTACCATGTTAATATAAACGTACACTATGTAGTTTGTGATTTATAAAGGAACGGATGTATTTTGTATTAATATGTCGGGTGTTACAAGTTAGTATCTGAGTTAGAGATTAAGCGAACTAGATGCCTTATACTTGATTAGACCTTGTGGATATGGGTTAGTCAACAATGAAATGAATCATTCATTCTATTAAAAGTTGCTTACAAACAGTAAATATAATCATTAAATGAAATATGAATCATCATACTGCAATGAATGTCTAGAAGTCCTCATAGGCTCATACAATACCATATTGAATTTTTTATCTCAGGTGAATCATTTTTCTTACTTCTATAATATGATTCTATAACTTTATTTTAATTATATATATATACTTAAATTATTCATCTACTTGAACTATAATCGACTTATAACCTCAGCTTTGCAAAAAGAGACTAGGATCATCCAAAACAACAAACTCGTACCAAAGATTGCATATCTTGAAAACTCTCAAGACATTTTTTCATTGTTTACAACACATCACCCACAAACACCAAAAACAGATAACTTCACAAAACCAAAACCAAAAAACCTATCCTTCATCTTTTCCGTTTGGGAGCAGCACCACCCCCTCTTCCCCTGCCTCCTCCTCCTGCAGCAGGGGCCTTCTTTGAGCCTGAAGCCTTTTTTGCATCCACTTGTACTTGAATTCCTACATACAAACAAAATAAGTCAACTCAATAACAGATTTATCTGCTTCCAGAAATTGTAAGGAGGAGAATCTTACCTTTTGAAGAGAGGCTTGCAATGTCCACTTTAGGCTTTTCCTCCTCAGCATCACCTTCTGATCACACAAAAATCATACTCATGAATGAAAACCATTTTAAAAGATGATAAACAAAAACAATGTGAAGAAGAATAAGAATACCCAAATCCTCAACATCATCCGAGTTGTTTTCTTCATTCTCCACTATTGCATCACCAACATCCACTGGCTCTAGCATTGCTTGAACCCGTTTCTTTGGAGCTTTTTTAATGCCTGGAAGTGTGATCAAATCTGCTGTTCGTATCACTCGTGTCTTGCTTCCTTTATTGTATGCCTTTGTCAGTGCAGCTTTCACAGCAGGTTGCACACCCTCAAGTAAATTAGGTCGCCCCTACACATACATATAATAATATCAATAATTATAAATTTATAATAATCCCAGCGAATAAAAAACCACAACTTGTCATTTACCTGAAACTTGGACATCAGCATCAGTGACTCAAAATCCTCCTGACTAATGGAGTATGCATCCATAAACTCCACAACCTTTTCAACACCTTCATCCTGCCAATTAATTATCCAAAACAACATTCAATTAAAAGAAATCATAACACTTTTTTTTTTTTAAAAAAAAAAATCACTTGTACCTTTGGCAGTGTCTTCAATGGATCAGTCATGTGCTTAAGTAGAAGAGACATGTAATCGAGACACAGGGTCGACCTACACCAGTTGACCAAAATCATCATTCATCAAACTGAATTAACTTAATAAGAAAATATACATTACCTGCCCAAATTGAATTGTAGAGAAGCTAAAAGATGAACATGAGCATCTTCAAGAAGCCTATAATTCTTTCCCATGGTAGAGTTCTTTCCAAGCCACCCCCCAAATCTGTTAAAGTTTCGTTCACCCTATATACATATTAAAAAAAAATAATAAGACATACATAGATTTATTTATACCCAATTAAAGAACTTTTACCTGTTCAAGTGTTTCCCTTTGTCCACGTAGCAAAGCAGCCCTTTTTCAAACAAAACAAAAATTATCATCATCTACAATTTATCCGCATAACTGAAAATATTAAAAACCAACTTACGGGATTATAGCTGACACAAGTGAGCTACTTTGAGAGAGTTGCCACTTTTGGTATCTTCTTATTTGTACATTGATTATATCTCCACTTGCAATAGAATCAGCAGCACGTGCAATCAAGTTCAACCTCTTGAGACCATTCTCATCTTTGCCAGCTGTACTTGGCCTGTAGTTTATATAGTTTTCCTGAATCAAAAGAGGTACTAAATCCATATCACTCATGCTCAGATCAAACCGTTCATCCATCCGTAGCTTTCCACCATTGTAACCAAACAACCTTCAACAACAAAAAGACAAAACAATTAGCCATGGATTGTTTTTTATAAATATAACAAAAATGTTAACTTGTTACTGGGTTCATACTTATCAACTGCTGTAAACGGAGAAATGTCTTCATCTTTAGAGCTAGTAAGAAGGCGTTGTCTGACATCATCAAACTTAATGACAGACATTGAGAGACTCATGTATTGTAATTGATTCAGAGCCATACGCATATCTCCATTAACTCTTTCAGCTAGTTCCTCAAGTGCCACCTCATTTACTTGAATCTTTTCTGCATTTGCAACTTGTAACAATCTTTTTGCCATTTTGTTGTTTTGTTGGTTTCCGGAAGGAAAGAAGTAAGCAGTAGTTGACCAAGCTTTTTAGTTTTTGACTGTATCGATCGTTGCATATACAAATTATAGGGATTTTAGATATTTTAATGCTGGCAATAAGATCAGCCACACCACCTCTATCGCCAGCAGACATACCATCAACCTCATCCATAATCAACACTGCCTTTGGATGCTTTGACCGGTCAAAGTCAACACTTAAAGATTGATTACTCACAAGCTCTTTAACAGAATTAGCAGTGCTACTACCAATTCCCTTTTCAATTTTGGAATCAGCTTTTCCACGACTATCACTGGCATTAACCTCAATTGTCTGGAACCCAAGCATCTGACTAACCAACTTTGCTGATGTGGTCTTCCCTATGCCAGGTGTACCACTTAGCAATATTGCCTTCTTTGCCCCTGAGTCGCTCTGTTTCTTTCCCTTCGCCTTGCTGGCACCATTTAGGAAATTATCATTCCAATGTATCAACCAATCATGAAGCTGCTTTACTAGAGACTGATTCCCTATGATGTCATTTGGAACCTTTGGTTTGTACTTTTCTGTCCATGGTAGTGAAGACTGGCCCACTGTTGGTTTTTTCCGCATGGAAGAAGCAACACCTGGACTAGCATGCGTGGTAGCTTTACCCTTTTGTGGAGATTCACGAACTTCTTCCTCTAAAATGTTGCAAATAAAATGGTTAAGACATAAAGATAGATGGTTATTGTTAAAGTTTTATATAAAGTTTCATACTTTTATTTCCTCCTTTAATAGGGCTTGCTTTTGAAGATGTAGCTATTTTGTCCACTTGTTTCTTGGGATCTTCTTTTTTGGTGGATTTTGAACGATTTGATGCACGAATCATGTCAAACAATCCATCCTCAGTGAGAAAACCAGTACTTCATAAAGATTTAAAGAAAATACTTCAGAAAATTAGATTGAAAAATAAATCAAGGGAAAGTGGATATCAATGCAAGAATCAAGATAACAAACCCTAGCTCTTTTGCTTTTGCTGATTTCCTTCCACCAATATCTTCATCGCATAAAAGATAATTCTTTCATAAAGAAACAAAAAAAAGAAAAGAAAGAACGTCAAAACCACACATAGTCAAAGTCAAAATCGCAAGAAAGCATCAAGAAGTCAACCGTTTTCTTGCTGACAGATCCAGTAACACGACCACCATATCGTTTAATCAAATCTTCAGCTTCTTCTCTTTCCAAACTGTCGAGTGTTCCACTGATGACAAATGTCAAACCAGATAAACACTCAGAAGAACCTTCCGGAACTTCCTGTCAGCATAATAATATGTAAGCATTTGGATTTGGCAATTAGTAATTCAACTAATGATCCACAAACCTTTTCTCCTTTGTGGGGAGGATCTTTTCTTTCACCATAAGCCATGAATCCACCGCGTCCACCACCTCTTCCACCACCTGCCGCCGCTGAACCACCCCTTCCACCGCGACCACGGCCAGCAGACTTAACCTCCTTAGCATCCTCATCATCATCAGCATTGCCCTCATCACTTTCCAACTTTGTCCCCCTTCCGCCAGCTGTCCTACCCCTACCCCGACCTCTTCCAGCAGATTTAGGACTTGTCACAACATCATCTTCTTTCACACTTGCATTGGGAATCCCCTTACCTGAACCACTCTTAAGTTTCTTACTAGGAGTTGTTTCAACTGAGCTTTTTTCAGTTTTAGGCATTACAAAGTCGTCATCATCATCATCATCCACTTTCCGTGACTTCTTTACAGGTGAAGGTTTCACATCATCACTCTTTGCCTTTCTTTTTGCTGTGAATTCAGAGACTTCTGTTGGATCTTCTTTGTTTTGTTTGTCACTGGCAAAGTATTTACTGGTTTTCCGCCTCCCAGAACTTTCTTGACCACCTTGTAACTACAAGTCACAAACAGGAATCAAACTCATTGTAAAATTTTCAACAAACTTGTGATGTCTATAATCAACTTTTTTATACTTACTGATTTCACGGGTGATGAAGGTGAGGCATCTTTAGCAGTTGACACCTTTCCAGGTATCGCAAGTGTGGGTTTTGCAGGTTTTGGTGCTTTGCCATTATCATCTGATTTGTCATGTGGCTTCACGAACCATTTTCTAATATCTGGCTGCTGTAGGAACACAAAGTTCAAGCAGAAAAGAGTTATATTCTCCAAATAATGACCAGACAAAAGAGAAGAAGACACACCGAAATTGAAAAATAAGTACATTATGATATACAGTAGAACACCAACTAACCATAACTCATAACTTACCATTTTTCAGGTTTCTTTCTCGCTCTGCCTCCTACCTCCAGAATAGGATCTTCTCAATAACCGGTGAAACTGAAAGCAAAAAAATATATTCAGTACCTTTGGGTCAGTTTGCATGGGCGCAATAAATCAGTTAGTGTAGACAGTATCTTAAGAAGCCATAGCCTCAAAACAGTGGAGGATAATGCACTAGAAATGGCTAAAGAATTTTCTAAGCAACGTCGACCAGAAAATGGTTGACAAAATGTGTGAGAAATGACGTCGGAAATCGATAGGAGATCAAGATTAAACGCAGTGCCAAATTGATTAATCAGTAGTAAAGAATAATGCACCGTTGTTAGACGCACTCAACTCTCACTGGTTCCTCGTATGTAGATATGGCACGTACTAGCACCCTTCTAAAACCCTAAATTACAAACATAGAACTGTGAGGAGCACTCGACGAACAAACCCTAGATTTATTACAAAACCTTACGTAAAAACGCACAAATAACTAAAATCGAACATTAAATGACTGGGTTACCTGAAGCGGAATTCGTCTTTTTCTTGGCAGGAAGCCATTATACTATAAGCCAAAGCTGAATATGAAATGAGAATAAAACAATGGAATGATGGCGATAAACTCTGGAAGGAGATCGACTTCCTTTGTTCGTGTCTCCTTGAAAGTTCGTCTTCCTTTGTTCGCGTCTCCTTGAAAGTTCAGCAAAGAAAGTGGATTTTCCGATTAGGGTTGAAACTTCGGTATCAGAGGTTTTTTTTCCTTTCAAAAAAGTAGGGTCTCTGGGTATTTGTTTCTGGGAATTGACATATTTGGGTAACAAAATTATGTAATACGTGTTTAAAATAATATTTTGAAAAAAGAAAAGTGTTTTTGAAAATAATTTTTTATATTTTTAAAAAATAGTTAAAAAAAACATGATCTTATTTTTTTTTTTAAGTTAGTATTTTTCCATATAAAATAACTTTTTTTTTTTTTACCGTTGTTTAGTAGGAAAGTTAAATTCACCAAGTTAAGGGTTTTTTAATAGTTGCTAACTGAATTAGAGCTGGCTGAGTTAGAAGTTCTGATTATGTTAACTTATGATTGAAACTTATTGTTTGATTTTACATTTCTGACTGTACAAAATGATTATATTACCTTCAAACAACATTTTTTTATGATGATTCCATTATGATTCACCATTTAATTTATAAATGGTCATGTTATATATAATATCACCAACTTCTATTTTACAACATTTTCTCTCATTTTGCATAAATGGTCATGGTATATACAATATCACCAACTTCCATTTTACAACATTTTCTCTCATTTTGCATAACCCATTGATTAGTGTTCCACATTTTACATAAAAAACAATAAACATGGGATAATAATAATTACAAACTATAAAGACATATTGTTATTGTTTTTTTTTTTTTTTTTTTTTTTTTCAAATGTGCGACACTTAAGATTACCTTGATGTTTTGCCCTATTTGAGATTTAATAATCAAGTAAAGGATTGTATAGGTATATAATTCTTGGCTACTATCACCATGCCTCATTTCTTCCAAGCACATATCAACTATGTCTAATATAATTTTAAAATCCTTGAAAAGTTGAGAACCACATATTTTCTTTGAGATGTCATTTCCATAGTATTTTTTCTTCACCTCCTTTTTTTGTTTTGCATCGAGAGCGAAAAGTTGAGAGTATATATAGATAATACCTAATGTTTTAAAACCCGGGTCGATCCGGCCGGTTGAACCAGTTGGACCGTGACCCGGTGTAAAAGGCGGGTCAATTGAGACCGGTTTTTTGTAAAAATATGAACCAAATCGAACCGGCCGGGTTTCCGCTAAACCGCGGTTCGACCGCTTATGTCGAACCGGTTAAAACCGGATTAACCCGTTTTAATAGGGTTTGGATAGTTGGATACAAGTATCGAACGTCAAAACAACGAGCCGTTTGCGGTTTCTTTAATGTTTTTCAATGTTTAAACTTTGTGGATATCAAATTATTGATTTTATATGTTTATGGATTATGCATGCAAATAAAAATATATAAAAATAGAAAAATATCATAAACCGGGTTGACCCGGCGGTTTAACCGGTTGAACCAGTTGACCCGTGAACCGGTCATCACACTGGATCAACTAAAAACCCGGGTTTTAAAACATTGATAATACCCCATCTTTATTAGCTTTCTTTCCACCAATTTCTATTCAATTGTCTATTCTTGTTCAACTGTCAAGTGGATGATTACTACAACCTGTTTTATGTCGTTCAAGAAAAAAAACAACTTGCTTCACCATTTGTTGCAAATTGTTGTTTCTCTTCTTTATCATCCCATGAAAATAAATTTCTCTGTTTTTTTTTGTAACTTTTTAAACCAAAAGCATTAAAAGGTCCATGTGCCAAACGATTCCATTTAATTTCAACGACAAATGCTTTCAAAGAATGGGCCATACCTGCAACTAGAATGGTGAATCATAAAAAATCGATTTCGACACAGCTTAAAAAATCGATTTCAACACAGCTTAAAAATTCGATTTTGTAGAGATGAGAATTGCAAACCTGTAAATTAGGTCAAACAGAAATAAACCACTGCTGAAAGAGGAGCGATGTGGAAGGCCAAAAGGAACGGGGTGTGAAGTTGAAGGAAGAAAGTGTTAGCAAGTGAGAATGGCAATAAAAGGAAAGAATGGTTCAGTCTTGGTCAGTCAGCCATTCTTTTTTCACGAACTCAGTAAGCCAATGATCAGCCATCCACTAACTGAGTTAGAGCAAATATTTTCTTATCAAACGAGCTAACTCATACCGGGTCAGATAAAAGCTCTAACAGGTCAGAGTGAAATCAAACAGCCCCTTAGTTAATTCGTTGATGCCTAAATTTGAACCGGAAACCTCCAATCTAAGAGACTTATTTCTACAAAGTTTCGTAGTTTCTCGTTTGCCATATAAAATAACCTTTAAGAGATGTATAAACTAATCTAAACATTCTTTTAGAAAGATTTTTTGTCGTCATCTAATTTAATAAATATTTTATTAAAAAAATATTTATTGAGTTAAATAAATGGTTGTTGTAACTGTAGCCCAATAAACTTATCAGTTTTTGTTTAAATGGTCATTCGTGATATTTTTTGCATTGTAAGGGAACAAATTCATGTTTTAATGTTTTAAATTCTCGTTATGAAAAATGTGAAATAGGTCACCCGGTGAACCCCTTCCAACTTAGCAAGTACCATTTGACAAGTCATTAAAATATGTCACCTCACTTGTCACCTGTCTGAATATTTGACATGTCACCAACGACTTGTTTGACTCAAAGACCTAGGCCTAAATAATGTTTCCTTTAGAAGCAAAATAACAAATGCATTGT